ACACATTCTTGGGTGAGGATTGAAAAAAAAAAAAGATTCTTCTTAAAAAGACCTTAGCTGCCACATAGATACAGCTATTTGGGGTTTCTGTAATATGATGAACTCTGATGTGGGGAAGGCAAATGTATTAGAGCAGAGAGACTATGAGATATGAACATTTTAGGAAATGCAGAATAATTAACACTATTTTTAAGGTGTTTCATTTGATAGTTTCTAGGAAAAAAGCTAGTATTTACTAATGAGATAAAGCAACTTAGTAATTTCAGAGACCTAGGAAAAAAGCTGTTAAAGCAGAACCCAGAATGCCCTTCAATACTGGTGACCTTTCTCTATAGTAAATGTAAATACAATCAGGGTGGCAAAACAGCCTTACCAATATAAAGCAACTGACAAACTTCAGAGGAGAGAGGGCATTTTTCTAGGCATTGGCTATTCAAATAGATGTGTGCAGTGAAGAGGAGCTTACAATTTTCCAGTTTAAAAGAACAAAAGGTAGAATGAGAGACAGGTTAATAATATACAACACAAAGTGAGGTATTATTTCCACAACCTGTTTTTGAGGTTTGATATTCATGGTTCTGTAGCCCTTAAGTAAACATAATTTTTCCATTTTACTCTGAAGAGCTCAAGGATGTTGATTGCTTAGACATATAATTTCAAGTGCTTCATGCTTTTATTTCCAGAGAAACTGTATTTTAAATGTTTCACTCAAGAATCTGAGGATTTATTAGACACATGGACAGAAAATGCTCTTCCCCATTAACAGTTCATAAAATGTAAAACTGTACTTATTTGTCACAGGAAAATCTCTCCAAGAAATGCACCTTAGGCTGTGATTAATGCTGAGAGAAGGTTTCTTTAGGAATTCCAAATGAAATCTCCCCTATAGCTCCGGGGCTGCTAGAAGCAACTTGGTCGTTCCTCAGAGTTCCTGGAGATCACTGGCACCCAGTGGCTGTGAACAGGAAGGCCAGACTTGAGACTGGGCATGCATGGTGTGGGTGCCTGAGCCACCCTGCTCAGGAAGTCCTCGCCCCCCACCGAAACTGGCCCGAACCCTGCAAGTGGGCGCAAGGGCACAGCCTAGCTGATACACACAACCACCTCTCTCAGCTCCACCATATTTTCTCACAGCCCCATTACCCGGCTCTCCATTTCCAGTTTTGTTCCCTGGAAACAGAGCCTTTTCTTTTCTAAGCCTAAACTGCCTTTTATATCTTCCCTGAGGCTTTTCAGAGCTGGGCCCTCCATGCCACTGAGCCCCCCCTTAGTTTTTCACTTTATCTTATTTCCTGTGGCGGCAGCGGTTTTCTTCCCGAGGATGGGGGTAGGGGCAGGGGCGGGGACCGCTGGTTACTACTTTCTGCACGCAGATCCGCTGCTTGCCCTGACCCCGTCCGTGCCCTCTGTTGGAACTTTCCATTTGCAATCTATAGAGGGCAGCCTCTTTCATACTGTGAGGACGAAAGAGCAACCTCCCTAGAATGTCCCTGCAGTATTTATTTACCTCTGAGGTCTTGCTAATATCGATCTCTGTCTACCTTTATTTTCAGCCATGAATTCAGTCATAATGATTTGTCTCAGCGCGCCGCTCAAGTAAATTAGGTCAAAGCGGGGGCGGGGTTGGAGGGGGCGGTGAGAGCCAGGACACAAAGCTCTGACACAAGGCAGGGAGGTGTGGAGACGATCAGTCAAGATCCTGTATGGCAAATGCTCATTGTTCCTTACAGTGTTTTTCTTTCCAGCTTTATTGAGTCTAATTGACAAGTAAAATTGTAAGATGTTTAAAGGGTACAATGTAATCATTTGATACAATATGAAAAAATGACCACCATCTAGTTAATTAACATATTCATCACCGCACTTTTTTTTTTTTAATGGAGGGGAGAACATGTATATTCTATACTCTTAGCAAATTTTATTTATACATGTTATCAACTATAGTCACCAGGTTACATATTAGACCCTCAGATCTTATTCATCTCATAGCTGAAAGTTTGTACCTTTTTATCAAACTCTCCCTATTCCTTCACCTCCCAGTCCCTGGTAACCACTTTTCTACTCTCTATTTTTATGAGTTCAACTTTTTTTGGTGTTGTTTTTTAAGATTCCACATGAAAGTGATGCCACGTAGCACTTTTCTTTAGTAGGCTTACTTCACTTAGTATAAGGCCCTTCAGGTTCATGTTGTTGTAAGTTGCAGGATTTCCTTCTTTTTTTAAAGCAGAAAAAAATTGCACTGTATACATCTACTATGTTTTCATTATCTATTCACCTGTTGACAAGACACTTAAGTTGTTTCCATACCTTAGCTATTGTGAATAATGCTGCAATGAACATGGTGGTACAGATATCCCTTTCACATATTGGTTCTGTTTTCCTATGGACATATAGCTAGAAGCGGGATACTGGATCATAACATAGCTCTATGTTTAATTTCTTGAGGAACCACTGTACTGTTTTCCATAGTGGCTGCATCAGTTTACATTTCCATTTCCATCAACAGTGCACAAGGATTCCCTTTTCTCCGTACCCTCACCAACATTTTGGGTTCTGATTTGAATTTCCATGATGGTTAGTAAATTTTTATTCTTATTTTTTGCAATTGAGTTGTATGAGCTTCTTATCTATACTGGATATTAACCTCCTACTGGATATGTGTTTTGCAAATATTTTCTCCCATTACATAGACTGTTTTCTCATTTTGTTGACAATTTCCTTTGCTGTGCAAAAGGATTTGATATAGTCCCACTTATTTTTGCTTTTGTTGTCAGATTAAAAAAATCATAGCCAAGACAGATGTCAAGGAGCTTATTCTGTTTTCTTCTAGGAGTTTTATGCTTTCAGGTTTAATGTTCAGGTCTTGATTTGTGCATATGGTGTAAAATAGAAGCCAGTTTCATTCTTTTGCATGAGGTTATCTAGTTTTCCCAATACTGTTTATGGAAGAGAGTATCTTTTCCCATTGCATATTCTTGGCTCCTTTGTTGAAAAGTAGTTGCATATATATGCATGGGTTTATTTCTGAGCTCTCTATTCTATTCCATTGATCTCTGCATCATTTTTTATGCCAATACCATAATATTTTGATTACTGCAACTCCGTAATATAGTTTGAAAGCAGAGAGCATGATGATGTGTCCAGCTTTGTTCTTCTTTCTCAAGACTGCCTTGGTTATTGGAGGGTCTTTTGTAGTTCCATACAAACTTTAGGATTTTTTTCTATTTTTATAAAAAATTACATTATAATTTTTATAAGGATTGCATTAAATCAGTAGATTTCTTTGGGTAGTATAGCTATTTTAACAATACTAATTATGTAGATCCATGAAAACTAAATACCTTTCCATTCATTTGTGTCTTCTTCAATTTCTTTCATTAAAGTCTTACAGTCCCAGTGTACAGATCTTTTACCTCCTTGGTTAAATTTATCCATATTTCATTCTTTTTGATGTTCTTACAGTGTTTTTAATTTGAATTTTTGGAATCTGGCTAAGAGAGAGATCACCTTCATGGGTCATTTTTACTCCAAACCATCACACAGTTCCTGTATCTGAAAATGTGCTCACTAGACTTACCACCTTAGTTTGATCTAAAGAGCAAGCTCCACTCAAATCTGACCTACTTAGACCCAAGTCTCACTTGCAAACACCCTGTGCTGGAGGAAAAGCAGTGTGGAGATTTCTTAGCTCTCAACTGTGAGGAATCCTAGGTTACCCTGGCAACAAGGCAGAAAACTTTAAAGAGCCTGACCAGCAAAACAGAAAAAAGGCCAAAGAAAGCCCAACCTAATTTGTAAAATAAACAACACTATTTGATCTTATACAGTGAAAGTTATAAACTTAATAAAAATGCTAAAAGGAAAATTCATGAGTGTATAATCTTTCTAAAAATAAGTCCTCTACATTGTAAAACATCAGACACTGATTAAGATCGGAAAGTCTTAAACAAGGTTACATCCATATAGTATTCACAAATAGGTCTTTTGTGAATGCATTTCTTCCTTGAACCTGTATTTTGTGAATCTGTAGTTCTGATTCTTTGCATTCATGATTCTGACATATTACAGGATTATGCTCTGGCTTAGTTTCATCATCACCCTTTTATTTTTTTATATCAATTACATTTTATTTTTAAACATATATCTCAAACTGATCATGCTTTAATATAAAGTATTTTATCATCATCACTTCTTTTAAAAGAGATACCAGGAATAAACTTTTAATAAGACAGAATTTTAAAAACAAAAAATGATAACCAGGAGACAAAAGGTGCTTTGACAGTAAGCCTGGTTTTATGCAGGAGAACAAACTAAAAACTGAAGTGGCATTTTTTATTTTTAGTTGTAAGTATTTTTAACAATTACTTTACCCAGAACTCCTGAATTGTCCACAAAAAGCATGGGTCCAGTTAGCTTATTTTCAAAAGCATCATTTCAATAAAGACAACTGGCTAAGAAATTTTAAAAAAACACTCAAAACGTACCCCAAAGCCCTTTTTGGAGGCTTTTAGTGAACAAGAACCTCTCTTGCATACTAAGCAGGCTGGTCACACTTCACCCAGTATTCCCGAATAATGATGATTTGCTTCCCAAATTTCCCTTATGGTTTTGCAATGTTCCATTTTATATGCACAGCAGTCCAGAACCAATCCTAATCCAGCAGCATTTTGCAAGTAATTGAGACTATATTTTTCAAAATATTTTGCAAGTAATTGAGAGTATATTTTTCAAATACTATCTTTGCATAATACCATGATTAAGGTATAATAGGGGGGAAATGAAGGCTTAATAAAACCTTACTGAAACATAACTGAGAGTCCACATGAAATCAAGAAGATCACAGAAATATTTAGTACCATATCTCAGTATTTCTGTTAAGTAAAAAGGTATTGAACACTAAAAGCACTTAATATGAAAAGAGAAGTTGACTCTTGATTTTCTGAAAATTTTGACCCTTAAAATGTTAGACAAACACAAAAAAAATCGAGTTACATTCCTCTCCATGTAAACCATTTGTCATCCATTCATGTTTTTATACTTCATTTCTTCACCAAAAATCGTGTGATGTCAGATCCATGCTTTGATGCTAGAGATTGTCTTCTCATCTGGCTCCTTTCCTTGGCTTGTCTGGTAGTTCTCTAAAAGGTGAAAAATAGGAGTGTGTTCACATGCTGGGTAAAAGTACTAGCAACAAAAATCAAAAACTCTTTGTATTCTGCTAGTCTGGAAAAAACTATATTATCACCACATCTACTTACTAGTGCTTTGTCACTGGGGGTTACCAAACCACAAGCAGAGGACACAAGTAGCTTTGCTAAGTGCCCTGACATGCTAGGTTTCCTTAGGACCAGATGCTGAGAAGAAAACACATAGCTTTGGGGGATGTCTTGCTACCCAGTGAAATCTGTGAATCCCTTATTTGGGGTCTAGGAGAGGAGGTCGTGGTTCTCCTCATCCACGTGGGAGTCTGTAAGGCTTCTTGGGATTTCCCAGGAGGCAATGCATACAAGGTCCACCTCCTTCTTCTTCTTTGGGATTCCCAACCCAACAGCCAAACCAATACGGAGAAACAAAATGAGATAGAAAAGAACTGAATTCTTCTGCCATTCCCACAAATATAAATTTTCATGAGAACCTGAAAAAATTATTACAGAAGGAATAGCATTTCATTTGCAGTATCTTAATTCTCTTATTGATCTTAAATGTGCTAATGATGTGCACAGCTGAGAAACTGGATGACTTTTTCGACCAACTGGGGTCCATGTATGTTTGATGTGGTCCAGGAGGAAAGGTGAGGAAAGCAAAGAGTGTTCAAACTAAAAACAGACAAAAAACCTTGCCTATATGACATCATCCTATTTATGTAAAAATTACGTTTGTGAAGAGAGGAGTCTAAAATATTAAAAGAAGGCTAAGAAAATGCTCATACAATATGAACACTGGCAAAGTATCTGAACCGGTATCAAAACTATACATACAACTGATTAGCATTTTAAAGAACATCAGGGTCTTCAGTAAACAAAATGATGGCAGGCCATTCTTCTCCCATCACATGGGCACTAATTAATGCAGTTAAATGAGCACTCTCATTCGCTAATAAGAGGGAGGAGTCTGACAGTATAAACCTCTGAAAAACAGCTTGGAGATAAAAATATCAGACTCAAAAATAACCAAACACTTGACTCAGTGATATTTTAGATCTGAGAATCTATCTTAAAGAATGACCTCAAAACATAAAAAAAAGTGCTTGGCAACATTATGTATAAGAACAAAAAAGAATGTAAATAACTTAAATGTTCACTAGTATGGGAATGGCTAAAAAACTACAGTACAGATCTATTCAACAGAATAATGTGCAGCCATTTTAGAAAATAAACATTATGAATGCTTATTATGGAAACATGGGAAAATGCTTAAATTTGCCATAAGTGAAAAAAATAGATACAAACTTGCATATTGAATATAACCTTCTTTTTAAGATTATCTCAATAGGCATATATGACCTCCTTTTGTTGGACTGGCTGTTAAAAATTCATCCTAGTTAATAAATAATACTATGTCATTTTTAAAATAAAGATTTTATTTATTTTTAGAGAGAGGGGAAGGGAGAAAGGGAGAGAAACATCAATGTGAGAGAGAAATATTGATTAATTTCTTCCCTACATGCCTCGACTAGGGACCAAACCTGCAACCCAGGCATGTGCCCTGATCAGAATTGAACCGGCAACCTTTTGCTTTTCGGGATATGATGCTTAACCAATGAGCACACCGGTCAGGGCTACTGTGTCATTTTTTCCCTCTTGTTTTAGGCAGCAGGTAATTTCTCAAAGATGTGCCAAGGTTAATAGGTTTCATACTTTGGCCAGGAGGGCAATGTTTGCATGTCGAACTGAGTTGGTCCTAGAGACAATTTATTAATGTTCCTAGATATTTAAGGACATCCTTAGCTGCAAATGCAAAACTATGTCACTCCCCCAGTTCACCAAACTTCTAGTTTGATGGTCTGGGTCTCTTCAAGATTATGCAAATTGTATACTGTATTCATTTTCATCTAGGTGGTGGTAAAATTTCCTGGTTCTAGAATAAATTCAAAGGGAAGCAGCCTCTCTTCCATTTGTGACTGAGAACTTAGGTCTTGAGAGGAAACACCAGTGTTAGAAAGAAAGAAAATGCATCCTGGATCCTAAACCAGAGATATAGATTCATTGACATCATCTTCCACACCTGTATGCACAATGTGCAACTTACTGTCCCAGGATGGAGTCAAATGTATCTGAGAGCTTCACTGACCTCTCTGTGGCAGACTGTGCAGAGAGTCTGCAGGTTGTCCAGGGAGCACTGTCCTCCTCCACCGAACACTGGTTTGATGTGGTCCACCTGCCAGAAATGCCCTTCCCCTGGGTTTCTTATCATTTCATTAAGCTGCAATAAGAACACAGGATCAGCACCTTTTTACATACACTGTGGGAACTGTTGGTTTTGCATTATGCAATCATGTTTATACAGCAAAATCACAGGGAAAAAAATAAATTAAAGTGGCTTTTTAAAGCTTTTTTTTTGTGAATAGGAAAAAGCATCTAGGTTAGCAATTTGAAAGCAGTAAAATGTGTTCCTGAAAAAGTTATTCTTCTCTTACCTAACCCATTTTGAAAAATTACAAGCATGTAAGAAATATCAACAGTCCTGACAGATTGGGAAAAATCCATTGCTTCTGCACTTTTGAGCTACTTTATATAGTCACTAAGACAAAACTGAGAAAAGAGTAAGAAGAGATTAGTAACTTAAAACTTCTGAATATTACTGACTCAAAAAATCTTTAATTGTTGACCTAAATGCATATGTTACTATACTGATGACAGTTTAATATTAATAGTTACCACCTGGAACTTTTATGCTATTCACCTGAGAATCTCCCAAGTAACATGGACTGGTATAGTATTTCTAGAACAAAACTCTATAAATTGCATATTTTGAATAAATAAAGATGTCCATTTAAAGCAGGCATGACTTGGGCCAGTCCACATGTACACACTTTATATTTAAGCAATGATGACCTACATTCAAATGGAAAGTATTTTAACACTTTACCTAAGGTATTAAAACTCACAGCATAGCTGTGCAGTTGTTTAAATACTACAAAGATGAGTGTGAAGGTTGTTTTTATTTTTCTTGGTCTTGAACAAGGGAAACTTTATAACCAACTTCATGGTTGCCAGCCATGGGAACCAGTGTCATAGTTCTAAAGCCCTTCTAAGGAAACTTGTCAGACCTGTGACGTCACAGGGACCTGATAACAGTGCCCAGCCTGAGACGAGCCCCAAGTAGCAGCAAGCTGGAGCAGCAGACTTTGTTCAGTGGTGTTTGGCATTTTTAAGAGCAACTACCAATGGCAGTCTTATGCATTCAGCTAATGGCATATTCTTAGGGGAAAAAATCCATTTTGGTACTACCTTTCATAACCAATTCTTTTGCTTTGAACAGTCTCGTCTCTGACAGACTCTATGATCCAGAAGGTGTTTCTTTATTCTTCCTAGTAATTAACAAATCACTTCGGGCCAGTCTTCAACATCCTAAATTCACCTGTTGAAAGAGTCACTCCCTCTCTGACTGGTCCTCCCCCACCTGAGCCCTGTGCAGCTCCTTATCCTCTGAGCACTTTGTTTTAGAGGTATATTACATTACTTCTGCATTCCTGGACAGGCTGCTTTCAAGATATCTTTGACACCTTTCACTGTGTGTGTGATTGTGTGGAAGCCTCCACCAAGGCAGCAGACAATTGGAGTCTGGGTAACACCCCTGGGGTGGGTGCGATATGTCTCTCAACAATTAGACCAAAGGATATTTCAGGAACCCAGGATACCATTTAAAAAGTAGTGTATTTCCCTATTTCTCAAAGTCATGCTAATTCATCTATGTAGAAATGTTTATTAATTAAATCTGTCATAATTAAGAAATACTAGGTAAATAAAAATATACGATCTGCATTGGCTGGTGTGGCCCAGTGTTGAGTGCAGGCCTGCGAACCAAAGAGTCGCCGGTTCGATTCCCAGTCAGGGCACATGCCTGGGTTGTGGGCCAGGTCCCCAGCAGGGGGCGGGGGTGTGAGAGGCAACCACACACTGATGTTTCTTTTCCTCTCTTTCTCCTTCCCCTTTCCTCTTTCTAAAAATAAATAAATAAATACAATCTTTAAAAAATATATATATGATGTGACTAACTGGCAGGAATTTAATATTTTAGTGAGCAGAGAGTGGCTCAGGAGTGATTTTTTTAAAAAATTAAGCTCATTATAAAATTACACATCTTGCTTTAGTTTGAAATGTAGAACTGATGAGGTCACAACATTAGTAATCCAGTTGAGTTTTGGGAATCAAAGTGAATATTGATGAGTCTGAGAAAAACTGACATTGACCAGAAGGGACAGGGGAGAGGGATAGTGGGGGAAAGAAAGGGAAGCGTCTAGTCAAGAGACATGTACAAAGGAACCATGGTAATGGACAACAGGGTGGGGACTGACTGAGGGGACAGGTGGGAGGGTGCGGGGGCGGGGGTACGGTGGATGGGCAGGGCAGGGAAGAGCAACCAGGGGAAAATTGGGACAATTGTAAATGAACAACAATAAAGCAATATTTTGTCATAAACTGCTTCACAAAAATTATATTTTACAACAGAGGAACATGTATGTTTCCTTCTCATTGCACTGAACTACATTTTTAGGATTATCTATTTGTCCTTTGTCATTCAATATTAACACCATGAAAAGTGGAACAACTGGACCATAGGTGTTTCTTTGTTGTTTTTTTTTAAATTAAGTTTATTGGGGCCCTAGATAGGTGGCTCAGTTGGTTGGAGCATTTTCCTGTACACCAAAAGGTTGCAGGTTTGATCCCCAGTTGGGGTGTGTATAAGAGGCAACTGATATTTCTCTTTCACATTGATGTTTCTCTCTTTCTCCCTTCCTCTCTCTAAAATCAATCAAAAACATATCCTCGGGTGAGTAATTAAAAAAAATTATTGGGGACATGGAGAAAAAGAACTCGTTGTAAACTGCTGGTGGGAGTGTAAATTGGTACAGCCACTATGGAAAATAGTATGGGGGTCCTCATAGGTGCTTGTTGATGCAATGTATTACCTGTTAAGATCTCTTCCCCAAATAATTTATTCAGAATCTAAGTAAGCCTCCATATCTTATAACCATTATTATGGAAATCAGGGGGAGGGAGAAGCATGTCAGAAAATACCATGAGAATACAGGGAGACAAATCCAGAATGTGAAAAATCTTACAGGCAAATGATCCAGTTTCTTCAACAATCAATGGTATAAAAAAGGGATGGGGTGACATACAAGGAGGAGACTCAAAAATAAACCCCAAAATTATCTTCTGGAGGGCAGGTCCCTTGTAGTACAGGCTTCTCCTGCTAGTGAGTATTCTAGGAATCCACCTGTATCAGTGTAACAGCTGGCGTTGTTGTGAGAGGCTGTGTTTGGCCTCAGTGAATTTTTTTTTGAAGACTCAATGTGTTTGGCCATTTCATGATGGGTGACTTATGAGTGTACCTGCTCACACTGTGCTGAGTGTTCAGCAGTTTTTGATCAAAACCGGCATGACCCCCATGCCCTCCCCTCCCTACACACCTGATCTCACACCAAGCTACTTTTTTTCCCCTGGATGAGAAAAGTACTCAGAGGGAAACATTTTGCCAATATTGGGAGAAGTGTAACAAAAAACGGCAGAAGCACTAAAAGGCATCAAAACTGACAAGTGCAAAAACTGTTTTGATCAGTGGAAAAAAAGTCTTGAAAGGTGTATTGCATCAAATATGGAGTATTTTGAAGGTGACTGATGTTTAAATATGTAAGAATAAATACACAATTTTTTATAAATAAATCCTAGTTTTTTGGGGTCCCCCCTTGTACATTAAAGGGAGCGTAAGGGGCACAATGACTAAATGCAATGTGTGGGTCTTATCTGGATCCTAATTTGAACAAGTAAACTACAAAAAAATGTTTTTGAGACAATCTGGGAAACCAAATGTGGACTTACTGAAATCAAGAAATTATAATTGTGTTGGGTGTGATAATGAGTATTGGGGGTGTGGGATTATTAATCAAAGACAGACAGACAGAAAGAGGGAGAGAGGAAGGGAGAGAGGGAGGAGCTCTATCTGTGAGATATATAATGAAAGTATTTGAGGATGAAATTAAATGTGGTCTAAAATTTGCTTTAAAGTAATCCCAAGGGGGGAAAAAACATAATTGAGGTAAAGGATAGATGAAAATGAAGGCAAAATACCAACAACCATTCAAGTTGGATGATGGGTATATAGGTTCATTTTTCTCTCTACTTTTGTACATATGTTCAAACATTTCCATATTAAAATGTTAAAAGGTAAGCAAGTCAATACTCATCACTGAACACAATGCTGCCTCCTATCTGTCACACAATTACAAGTTACCTGTTCTAAAGGGAGCTTTGAAATCCAGGTAATATCCAGAAGACTCTTCCGCTGACTTATAGGAGCATCTCTCAGACGTAAAAAGAGTTCTTGTGCATTCAGATTACATAGCTGACACACACCATGTTCAATTTCAAATACTTTGGCTCGTAGGTAACTGTTATTAGAACGAATCCAAAACTCCTCCTGACATGTCAGAGAGCAAAACCGTGAATCCCAAGCGTTCATTTTACATTCTTGCTTAGTTTGGCTAGTGGACTGCTGACAGAGAAGGCAAAGTGGATTTCCTTCATTATCCATAGCTTGCAAATAGCCTTTGGATGTAGAAGGCTTCACACTGTGATCAGCTTGGGTTAGGCAGGAATTTAGAAATGGGAAACAGGCTCCATCTTCAAGAAAGTTTCTAGAATTGAACAAAACAGCTAATAAATACTTACATTAGTTAAATAGGCATAACTTCAAATAAAGGTCTTCAAAATTTCTATGTTGATAAACAGTAAACAAAGGACCCACAGATTGTATGCTTCAGTGTGGAAATGAAATGGCTACAGCCAGCACTCTATACTCCATGCCAAATAAAGGAAAGAATGGTGTTTTAAAAAAATAAATTTGAATACAAATATGCTACCTCTCTTGAGCATTTGGATATCTTCAAGTTAAACAATCAGATTTTGAAACATCTGAAGAAGTTAGAAAATTGTTCTTCAGGCTAGGAGAGGACAGGCTAATGCGAAACCCCAACTAAAGTTAGTGCTATCATGTTCTCCAAATGTCACACCCTCTTTAGGACAGAGAGGCCATTAGTAAGGCTTTCACGAACCCCGTCTTCTAGGCTCTGCTGCCCTACAGGAAACAGAGTCACACCTGTAAAGTGCTAGAGCCAAGTAGCCAAAAAATCTTGATAGAAATTAGAACTGAAGACTTGCTAAATATGTGCCTCCTAAAGGTAAACTCAGTTTTATTGACTTAAAATCAGAAAGGAAACAAAATAGGACATGTGCTCAATATGTGAGAATAAAAGGAAAAGGTGTATTACTCAATTATGTTGAAAGTCCTACATGGAAATTACAAATGCTTTGCCTATTTTCTATAGCTGCTTATTGAAAGTGTTAAAACAAAAACTTCTTAGGGTTGAAAGAGCTCACGGTAGGAGGGCAGAGCCCATATTTGATCTCAAGTCTCCTAATATCTTAGTGGCCTAGGGCAGGTCACTTGGTCCACCTGGTCTTAGAGTCCTAAAAATACCTTTTCCGTCTCTAATTTCTAAGGTGAGGACATCATGTGCCTCACAAGATTGCTAGGAGAATTGAAGAGCTACTATATTGTGAAAGTTCTTTATAACCTGTAAAGTGGCCACACAAAGGTAAAGCATTATTACAAAAACAAATACAAAGATTTAAAGGAGTGGTCTTAGTACTACTATGCCCTACTCGTAAATAAACCTTACTTTGTAGCTGTGTCCTGTGGCCTGGCCTCCTTTGTGATCAGACGGACATGGCCCCCATCATTCTTCACCTTGTCCATTGAGGCTGCAGCAACATCTTCTTTGGTTATGTATCTAAAACAAGGACATGCTAAGGAGATTTACTCCCTCCTGTAAGACTTTCTCTATTTCATGGTCACACTGCTCCTAGCAAAAGCCATAGGAGAGGCCCTGGCCAGGTAGCTCAGTTGGTTAGAGCATCATCCCGATATGCCAAGGTTGCAGGTTCAATCCCTGGTCAGAGAACATACAAGATTCAATAAATAAATGCATAAACAACAAATTGATGTTTCTTTTTCTCTCTCTTTCTCCCTTCATCTCTCTTTAAAATGAATATATATAAAAAATTTTTTTAAATGCACTAGGAGAAAAAGCAAGATACCATTTATTTGGTATGGTGATGCTGAAATTAGGAAACAAAATTTTCTCCCTTTACATTGGTCTCCACATGTGGGAAACACTCTTTCTTCCACATTAATTTTTTAAAGATTTATTTTTCTAAGAAACTCAAGAGTCATTCAATATTGTATGGACCAATTTTTACTTAGAGGAAAAAAGGAGTAGGTGTAGGCATAAGAAATGCTCAAATACATGCACAACTGGCAGCCTTAAATATATAGCTTACCACACTGCAGAAAATCTCTAACTGTATTTTTACCTTTTTCTTGGCCTTCTCTTCAAGGTTCCTCAAATCACCTCGACCAGTTATAATAGTGTGTATCAGCATGCCAGGTAAAGTGATTCTTTTTTTAAACAGGTTCAATCACATCTTCTATAATCTCAAGGTTGTTTCCATTATTATCAGCCCATATGGGGTTTATGGAATCATCCACTAAAGTGAAGCCAGTCTTGATGTGGGATTCAAAACCTTATTACACAACACTATCAATACCACACAATGGTTAGGGACTGGAAGTAAAGAGGAAAGTTATCCCAATTAAAGGTGACAGGGGAATTTAAGTAGATGAAATGCAATTACCCAATTAAGTCCTTTTAATTAGCATGGCCCAGTTTCTCTGGTAGTTAACAACTATTGTAGTTTTTTAAAAATATCAGTTTAAACATAAATTTCTTCACATTTTTGAGTACTTCATTTGGGAGCTTGACAATAAAATCAAAGTTAAATCACAATGGAATTACTGTTGTGCAAGTGTAGGCAAAATTTTAGCAATTTGCTTTTCTGTTGTTAGAGTAGATTTAATAATTAACAGATTTCCTTCTTATAAATTATTTTATTAATTTTTCAATTAGATGATACATACTGCACATATTTCAAAATTCAAAAGGCATGCAATAGTATATATGGTGAATAAGTTTCCCTTCCATTCCATTCTTCTTTTTACCTCCCCCAAAGCTACCTCTGTTGCTAGTTTTTAAGTTATCCTTTTAGAAATAGTTTACTTTTTCTGTATATAGATTATCCATTTTATTTATTTATCTCAGTATTTTTATGGACACATAACTCATGCCACTAAATTTAACATTTTAAATTTTTACAATTCAGTGCATTTTAGTATATTCACAAAGTTGTACAACCATCAGCACTACCTAATTCCATAACATTTTTATCACCTCAAAAAGAAACCTGAACTCATTAGCAGATACTCCCCATTATACCCTTTACCTTTAAAAACAAATGGTAGCATCATATACACACTAATCTTCACCTTGATCTTTTTACCTAAACACATCTCAGAGATGTCTCCATAGTAGTACACAGAGTTGTCCTATTTTTCAAATGGTTGCAATATTCCATTATTTGGATAAACCATATAATACATCTAACTGGTCTCTGATTAATGGGCATGTTGGTTGTTCCAGTCTCCGCTATTACAAACAATGCTGTCAAAAATATCACTATCCATGATATTTTCTACATATGAAATATATGTAAAATAAATCCCCAGAAGTAGAATTGCCAGGTCAAAAGTCTTGGGCACATTAAATTTGGATTGCTTTTGTCACATTGCTCTCATGTGGGTTTGTACCAACACACAGATCTACCAGGAACGAATAAGAGTAGCTGTGTCCTCACATTTTCACTAGCACAAGGCACTGTCAGTTAAAAACTTCTTGCTAATGGTGATAGGTACTTCATTATAGCTTTAAATTTGCATTCTCCTGTTAAGGGTGATTATCTTTTCATACATTTGCATTTTTACCACTTGTATATCTTAAAGCAATAAAGAACCACAGTGAATTCTTTTAAAATTCTCTAACTTGCCCTTTTAGTTCTTAAACTCCCCTGCCCCCATTTCTTCAACCATTTAATTCCCTTGACAAAGGCATTTCAACTAAAGTATTTCGGTGGATTCTAAGTAGATTCAAAAGCTTCCTGGCTTTGAGGGGAAAGGGTATATTAAGCTTTGCCTTAGGTATTATTCAATGTTTAAATGCTTAGAAACCTAACTCAGGAACTTTAAAAGATGCTGAGAAATCTATTCAGAGATTTAAGAACTAAAAATAATCTTTCCTACAAGAGTTTTAAGCACAGATTTTTGGAAACCGTAAGGAACAGATCAATCAACTCCAAATCATGGCAGGGGTTGAAAACTTTTCAAACATAGTTGTGAGTTAACAATATTTAATTTTCCACTAAGGTTTGTTAGGAAGTATATCAATTCTCAAAAGGATTATAGTAAATCCCAGTTTGATAAATAGGAAAGGGAGAATGTTGCCTACTAAGTAATTCTTGGATGAGGTTGTGAAGGGAGGATTGTAAGTTTTCTAAGAAGAGAGGAGAGTGTGTTGAGAGGAGTGTGTGCTGGAAAGCAGTCCACACCAGTAAAAACACTGCTCACCTCTAGGTTACTGACCTGCTTTGGAGATGAGCTGTGGCTAGCAGCTAAATAGCTGTCATCCTAAATCCAACAGGGCTCCCAGTCAATCATACTAGCCTCTGACAAATGGGAATTCACTTAGGAACCAAAACAATGGCTGGTGATCTTGGCTTCCATTCATATTTAAGAGTGAGCTACTCAAAAACTGACTGTAAGCCCTGAGCTTGGGTGGGCCTGAAAACTGGTGGACATTACCAGAGGATAATCTGGTTGGAGATTTAGCCATTGCTTTTGGGGGGATTCCTAAAAATCAGTATCTGTTTGTTTTTATTGTGAGGTCATTTCATTTTTTTCAGAGGTGAGTCTTCTAATCTTCTGCCTAGGAAATAAAATGTGGCTGCCAGTATTCTGGAAGCTGAGAAGAATGTGGAAACTGTTTAGTTTTCATATCATGCCTCTTCCTTTATGTTCACTGAGCCTGGTGCTTCCAAGCGTGATGCCCCTTTGGTTCAGCTTCTCTAGAAAGTAAACTGGTAGAACAGTGGGGGAAAGACATCCAATGTCTAACCTTCCTCATACAGACTTCCACACAGTGCTGCTGTGCAGCCCTGTCCTTCACACTTGCTTCCAGAGAGACATAGTTCATTCTATTTCACTGAGACTTGGCTTCCACGGCAAGAATCAGCATGCTTCCCCAAAGTACTGCCCCTCTACAGGCATACAAGTTCCCCTGTCATGGTTGTGCTGTCAGTTTCCATGGTGTCCTCCCTCTCTACGGTCTAGACCAAGGTTGATTAGAGCTACCTTTTTAACCTCTCCTCATTTTCTTTTCTCCTTTCCTGTTGCTAGTGCCTTAATGTAAGTCCTCATTGTTCCCCACCCCACCCCAGAGTTTACTACAAAAGTCTTTTAACTTGCAGAATTTTACAGACATCTACCTAGGATTCCTGTCTCCGGTATTCAATCATTCATCTAGACAGTGCTGTGAAGGGACTTTGCAGATGTAATTAAGTTTACGAATCAGCAGAACTTAAGTTAGGGAACAATTTCCAGGCACAAGGAATTCACACAATTTTCCTGGCCCAGACATGTAGGGGTAGAACTAGGAAGGAGCTTCTAGAAGCTAAGAGTGACTTTCAGCTGTCAGCCAGCCAAGAAACCTAAGTTCTGCCACCATGGGAAACTGAGTTCTGTTAACACCCTGAAAGAGCACAGCAGTGGATTCTTCCAGACTATCAGTAAGAGCCCCACTGGTCAACATCTTGATTCTTGCCTTATAGAATTTAGATAAGAGAAACTAGTAGCGCCAACTCAGACTTCTGACTTATAAAACCATGAGATAATAAATTACTGTTGTTTTAAGCATCTAGGTTTGTGATAATTTGTCACTGTAGCAGTAGAAAACTGACTCAAGGTGTCTCCCCAATTCAAGTCTTGCCCTGACAATCTAATCTTCCAATTGCTGTCAGAGTAGGCTCTTAAAAATACAAGTCCAATTATTTACTCTGCTGCTTGTTAACACAAGTGTTATCTGTAAGATATCATCAACATATAATTTTATAAATAACACTATGTGTCTAACTTTGGTTTGTATCAGTTTTATGACTTGCTTTTCACCTGATCAGCCATCTCTGTCAAGAGGTTCTTTAAGTGGCCATTCATGTCTGATGGAGAAGAAATAATGGGACATTTCTGGAAATGGCAATAAATTCAATTAAGAAGGGTATTTTGATCATGCAAAGAGAAGACCAATACTCCAAATAAGACTGTGGTTATAAAAATGAGAAAATGGAGAGGACTGGAAGAAGTATTGAGAAAAGTAAAATAGGCATCATGCTTTTTGTTATGCATGTGTGCACATATGTATGTGTAAGTGTATGTATGTATAAATACACACATATATTTTAAATGTATTTTTATATGAAGTAATATATGCTTGTGAGAAAAATTCAATCAGTACAGAAGAGGTTAGGCAGGAGTCCAAAATTGGTAGCTCATAAATACATCAAAGGGTTTTATTTGACTCATACAGTATTTTATTTTTAAATCTGAATTTAAATGATGTTACTTGGGTTATGTACTTTCCAACTGCCATCATTCTACCTCCTACTCCATCTTTTTTTAGTTTTACACCTGACTTCATTTGTTCATTTACGGTTCCTGCTTTGTTTTTGTCATTAGTTTGTGATCCTAGCATAAACTATAAAGCCCCTACCTCTACAAATCTACTAATCTTATGGTCTAGAGCAAGATTTCTCAATAGTGGTGCTATTAACATTTTGAAACAGAAAATTCTTTGCTGGGGAATGTAGTCCTGTTCACTGTGGGGTTTTATCACTATCTTAGGCCCCTAGCCACTAGATGTTGCCCTGTTGTATCCCTTTATTTTGACAAACTAAAATGTCTCCTAACATTGCCAGCCTGGTGGGTAAAACTGCCCCCAGTTGCGAACCACCGTTCTAGAGAAACCTCTGGTAAGATTTTCTAATGTATCCTTCCAGATACTTTCTATATTAATAATAGCAATTACATATATTTGTGTCTCCATCTTTTTTATACTTATTTTACCCTTAATAATTTATCACAAGTATCATTTCTTGTTTTCCCATATTAATATACCAAAGGCTATTTTGAAAGAACTAAAGAGACTTTTCACTGTGCGAGGATATAACTTAATCAACCACATCCTCTCATATACCACTGATGAATTTTTTTTTTTTTACCTGTGTGCATGGAAAATACTAGAGATCACAAAGTGATGATAGCATGCGGGGATGAAGAGAGATTATATGTGTATGGAGACAGCAAGAGCTACAGGGGATTTTTCTGCCATGCAGCTGTTGGTGCCTTGTTATCTCCTCCTAAGCAAGAGTAGGGCAACAGAACAGCTGACTGTGCTTCCTGAGAATCTGCTTCATGCCAAGGAAAGCTCTACAGAAAATGGGGATCACACAGAGGGATGCCTAGGTGAGGCAAAGATGACTATGATGCCAAGAAAGAAGAGTAAGTGCACAGAGGTTCAAAAGGGGCCTGTAATGATAAAGGCAAAACAGCTTCAAATGTAAGACTCTTACCCTTTCCTTTCATTTTGTTTTCAACCACAGGCATAATAGTTACCTCCCACCGCGTGGGTGGGGGTGCATCAAATAGAACCAGCTCCGCCACAGCAGGGCACCCAAGATTGACACCTCAGGAGCACAGGGCAGATGGGGCCCATGGGTGTGTTCTGCTGTTCTAACAGGGAAATGTCTTCCTGTTGTTAATAAGTGTCCCAGGCTGGGCAGGTCACAGGTGGTGCCAACCTGTGGCTCTGGCCTCTCTCCTGGTGAGTGAGAGTTACGGTGAGAAAGATGTGGACAACCTAATCTTCCCAGGAGATTTGATCCAATTCACAAAATATCTAATTATGTTGCTTTAAAATACGCTGTCATTTTATGTGTAATTTTCTCTTCATTCATCAGGATTTCATTAGCTGTTACATAAATGCCTTGGACCTCCCTGCCCCGCCCCCCCAGAAATGACAATGACAAGTAATTAAAATACAAAATAAAAAGAGAAAGACAACTCATACCTTTTTGTACTATTTTGTTTGGTTTGCTGCTTTGTGATCTCTTCGAAAGCAAGAATTGGGCTGCAGAATAGCCGTCCGCTTTTCCTGATGATTCTTTGCTTCATGGTAGTTAAACTACTCCATTCTCGAACAAACCTCAAAATCTGACACAAAAGGAGACAATGACAAGGGTGTATAGAGCTCAACAGTCACCTTCCTTTGAAGGTGAGGATACTTATAACATCAGAAAACTGATGTTTTATTATATCCCCCAAATAGGATTTTGAGTTTCACAATTTAAGCCTTTCTTCAATTTGATGCAAATTTCGTATCTTTCTGGTGAACCACATATGGCCAGTTGGGCACAGGTCTCTTCCAATCTGAAGACTCCCCGCAGGTGTGTTTCAGGGTCCCCAGCACACATGTCCAACACACATAGGGACCAGCAGCAGCACTGCGCTCAGTGAGACTGAAAGAGGCTTGGCTGCTGGAAGCTGTGGCTGAGGCAAAACTGGTCTTGGGGGCAGCAGGTGTGGCAGTCGTGACAGACTGACATACAACATCTGAGAATTGCTTTGTGCCCAAGGACTTAAGTAATCACAGGAAAATAACCATCAATAAACCTGGGACATTTTTATTAGAGTACTGTTCATCTTATTCGTCAGTTATAAGTAATGCTATTTTCTGGGACTGAGAATCAGGATTAGATGACACTAAAGAAAATAACTCACTGCTACCTTTTCCTTTAAGACAGATACAGACAATGTTTGATTCCCACTAAAAGGGCAAAAACACAGTCACTATTTTCTTGTAGAAAGTAGTACACACTGCATGCTGGGTCAGGCCCTGCGCATGCTGACTCTTCTTAGCAGTGCAGTTCAGCGGGTCATAGATAGGACCTGAGGCCTTCCTGGCAGGTACGTGGCCTGCAGCTGCTTGCTGGCGCTTCTGACAATGAATCAAGAGTCACCCAGCATGCTCTTTTAATCACTCTCAGAATTTGTCATTGTTAGAACTTAATCTTCAAAGATAAAATGTGATTCTGTCAGATACAACTATCGCAGTTGCTGGTCCTGTGAATAAGAAATTAAATGATGTGAGGATGATTCTATCCACAGAAAGAGCAACCCTGGGTGCGATCACTCACCAAGGAAACAGATTGCACATGTATTCTTAACACCGGGGTAATGCATAGGCACTGCCTGGACCGATTAAAATGCTACTAGTGATGTGATCCTGCAACAGGCCACAAAGTACTCGGCTTTTATTCAGTTCAAAATGGCCATTAAAATTACTCATATTTTAATTGAAAACAAATTCACAGAACTATTCTTACCAGGGAGCGATTTTGTTTCAGTTCAAAGCTTGCAGGTAAATCTTCCCAAAGGTCTAATTTTATATCCAAAGGAATGAAATTACAGTTCATCCTGTTTCCATCCTGATTATAGATTAAGAAGCATTATTAATCCATTTTGTGTGTAGGCACTAGTAATTATTTCAAAAGAATGATATTATGATATAATATGCCCCGTCTCCTGAAAGATAAACTGAGGTGGCTCATTCTAGACAAGATTCCACCCCACAGCTCCTCTGAAAGGACACTGAGCGGAGGAGGGCAGGTTCCCTGCTGCCCTCGCAGTGCCTCCAAGGCACTCACTGTTAAGGGTGAAAATACCATGCCGAAGGGTGTGGTCAGTTAAAGGCAAGTATAAACATGAAGTATTTCTTTTATAAAGGGGAAGAAGAATTTCTGTATATGAAAATATGTTATAGCAACAATAGTTGAACCCATATTCTAACATTCCCAGCTAAAAAGAAACACTACAGCTCCCACAGTCATTTTGAAAGAAACACACAAAAGTAATTATATGCAGATTAAACATTCAGATATATAGTTGTTATTCTAAACTCAGTTAGACTTGGGATTCAGGGTGAAACAAACAGTTCTTTAGAGTATACTGTTAATATGACATAAATTGCTAAATATCTGTTACTGCTCTTCCTTTTAAGGGGTACTCTTTTAGGTAGTGAACTGGGTTTTTAACCCAAATTTCTACTTTAGTTTTTCCAAGGTAAAAAGGAAATATTTCATCTCTACTGTAGCTGAGAAAAGACCTGTTTCATGTGCTTACTGTTTACAAAATTACCTGGTAATGGGACATGCAAGTATTTAGAATAGTCATAAAAATGCACTGGAAACCATTTAGAGAGATGTCAAGAACATGAGGAGGCCTCTGCTACACAGGCTGGGAGGCAGAGCCAGAGATGGGTCAGCAAGGCTGTCACTGTTCCTTCGCCCAGCACACACTAGCCTCTGTCAGGAGTTTGCAGTTTCTCTCCTGTTTCCACCCAAAGAGGGAAAAACACTAAACAGATGATTTAGGATGCTGAACATTCACTGTATAGAGTAAAAAGTTTAAGAGTTTAAGGGCTTCTGAATTTCTGTGGTGTGCTCCATCTCGAGTCCGACTTTCAGCCTCTTGACTTCAAGCTCACCTGGGGATCAGTTCTCTGTTATTCTCATGTGATGGCCTGAGACGCAGGCCTGGAGCTCTCTCCTCAAGGGGATGAGGGTGGCTCAGGTGCTTAAATCTGCCTCCAGGTGAGCAGAGGAGTCCCTGGTTCTCCTCCCAGGTCTAGACATTCCACACACAGTGCCCTGGGGTCCCAGGCTTCAAGAGGAGTATGCGGACTGGCTGGCTTTATTCTTGGTGTCCCTCCCATGGCTGTTGATCATGGCAGATGCTGTGGATTTAGAATGGAGGCTGCCTGGGCATTTTGTATTCACGATCCTCACAACCTCCTAATCTTCCACCAATGTCTTCTAATCTTCAGTTAGAACTGAAAATTATGGCATGGTACACCATCTATCTATTTCTATATTTGGTGTAGTAGGTAACGTGCAATTGAGTTTGGGCAGCTCCAACATTAAGTTATCTTTAAAAAGGCATTCTTCCCATAGAATGGCCCATCGGTTTAAAAAGTTTCAAATATCATTTTACTATAAAGATTAGAAATGTGAAACTGTAGTCCAAACAAAAGTATTTATAATTTCAGCAAGTTGTTTTTCTTCAAATATTCATCCCAGTTTTCCTAGGCCAAAGATTCTCACATGGCTCCCAAGATCCTTTCAGGGGATCCACAAAGTCAAAAGTGTTTCTGTAATAATAACGTAACATTATTTGCCCTTTTCATTCTCATTCTGTCACAATTGTGTGGTGGAGTTTTCCATGCACAGGTAGATATGAGAATCCCACTGTTTTCTACTAAGCCTTTAGCAAAAATTGCTAAAAATGTAAATATTCATTAAATATTATGTTTGTTTCAGAAAATACATTTTTCATGAAAATATGCTAATGATATAAATATGTATTTATATTATAGTTATTCTTAAAATAATAAATGAATATGTTTAAATGTTTTCTTTTTAATTTTAGATATAGTAAATATCAATAAATATAACTCACATAAACAAAAGCTCTTTGGGGTCCTCAATAAACTTTGAGTGCAAAGAGGTCTAAAGACGAAAAGTTTTGAGTTCTGCTAACCTAGGCTGTGGCAAGAATCAGCAATCTTATTTTTAAATTTTCATAGAGTTTAATGAACATGATGGGCAGGCTGAGACTTGCGTAAAGACGCTGCTGTTGCTGCTGCTACAAATGGTCAGCGCAGGAGCTAATATTTAATGAGAGCTTACTACGGCTAGGCACCGTGCTGAGTGCTTTGCAGGAATTAGTTCATTTTATCTTTGCAAAAACTCTTCCCCACATTTTACAGTTGAGGAAACTGAGGCACAGAGCAATTAAGTAAGGTGTCCAGGATTCCAGTTAGTGACAGATTTGAGCCAAGGCACTCTGGCTCTAAAGCCTGTGCTCTTAACTACTATGCTGTTTGCCTCTCTTTGATTTAACATCAGAATTTGATGATTAGCTTTAAGAAGAAAAGGAAGTAGATGCCAATCTCTTTGTTTATTAAATTAAATATTTCATTGAAACATGGAAAAAAAAAGGAAGTATTTTGTATGATTCAAGCTACAGAATCTGCTCGATGCTTACCTTGGTGTAAAGGTGAATCCGGTCAGTATTCTTACTTGCACAAAACATTAAGGTATCATACACTGGCAGAGTATCTGAACTCTTCAAATGTTCTAAAAATAAGATAAAAGAGTAGCTGAAGGCTTATCTGCCCGCTATCCAAAACAGTGTATTTTGATCTTCTGCAGATTAGAACGATGAAATATAGTTTTATCAAATATATGAACATACGTGACAAAGAACATGTATATGGGCTTGAAATAAAACTCATGGTAGGCCATCTCAGAGCATATTGGCTTATATGGGCACCAACAGCTTTGCACTTTTGCTAGTGACCCAAAAAGAAACAAACACATTTAGAATTAGTTGAGAAGTTACAAGTCAGGTATAAGGGAGAATTGCCTGCTACTAAGAATTAAGGAGTCTAGAAACTAGTCTTGCTAGAGCCAATTTAAGTCGAGCCTGAATGAGCACTGTTTTGATTATTGGCTGCAATATGGCTATGTCAAGGCCGACATAAGTGCCTGAATTCCTATGGCTTTGTGCCTCACATTCAAAAAGGAAGCAAGTGGACAAGCTTCTTTCCTTATAATCTATTTTTGTTTATTCCTTTCTCAGTTCCACTGACCAATATATTCTGTAGAGAAGATAGGGTCATCGATGCTGATCTAGATAGTAATTATAGCTGATGCTTATCAAATACTTACAATGTTTCAGGCCCTGGTCTGAGCACATATATTAACACCTCTCAGAAATAAGTAGTGCATTATACACAGGAGGAAACTGAGACACATTAACTTGCCCAAGGCCACACCATTAGGAAGAGGACTTAAGTCCAGTAACCTGGCTCCAGAGCCTGTGCTCTTTACCTCCACCACAGTTCCTCAGTGACCTTTTAAAGTATTTTCTCAAATCTTGAAGCATATGATCTGTTTGCAATACTACTTGGCAATATCATCATATTTTTATTTTTCTACTTAAAGCTACTTTACAAACTTGATTTGTGAATTATTCCCATATTGCACAAATTCAAAAATATACATTTCCCTCATACTTTTACATATCTGAAATTAGCATGTCTTACAGTCAACAATGGTGGCATTTTACAATCATTGCTGGCCAGGTGGCAGCTGTCAAGTAGTTGTCATTACCTGACCACACACGAGCTGTCATACTAGAATACTGTTGTTACTTCAATGTGACATTTGAGGTACATGTACTGTTGTTACTACATGTGTTGAGTTTATTTACTTTTAAAAGGTCTTCAATATGTTTCTCTATGATTTGGTATTAAAATGAACAGTTATCATGTACACCAAAAGAAATCTTAAATACAGGGCAGGACAGCATAAGTTTTATATTGAAAGGAGCAAATTTGTATCATTGGAGGAATACCCATTTCTTTTGCAAATGAATAACCAAGTGCCTCACCAAGGACCGAAGAAAAGGAGATCCCTGCAGACAGAGGAGGCTGTCTCATATTTGGATACTGAGATGTACTGAAGGGTTGCCTATTCTACGCCTAGCAAAGAAACTGAAAGCAGGAGAAGCTGCTAAATCCTTCAGAACAAATGAAAACAAGAGAGTGGGGTATGAATTGGTCTGGGTTATCATTAAGATATTAGCATATTTTGCCCTGGCATATGTGGTTCAGTGGATTGAGTGCTGGCCTGCAAACCAAAGGGTCACTAGTTCAATTCCCAGTTAGGGCACATGCCTGGGTTGTAAACCAGATCCCCAGTTGGGAGGTGTGTGAGAGGCAACTGATCAGCACTTTGATGTTTCTCTCTCTTCCTTCCCCTCTCTAAAAAAATAAATTAAATCCTTCAAAAGAAAAGAAAAAGAAGTGTCAAAGATCCTTAAAAAAAAGATATTGTCATATTTTAATTGGTAGAGTTTTTATTTCTTTCTTACTGTACATAAAATAAGTGCCTCTCAAAATTACTATGTCTTTAGGTTTAAAGAACTATGGTTGAAACACTCATGTGTAAAGATCAGATGTTATTCTTTGACAAAAAGCATTGTAGGAACAATTCCAAATCAGTTGATTTTCATTATTTCCATAAAGTATAATTTAATGGTTCAAGACTATAGATGTCCTTTGAAGATACAGCCACCTTCCAGAACTCCAGAATTCTCAAACTATAGTTCCAGTGTAGTGTGTACCACTTGAATTCTAAGAGCATATGTCCATAGAAAAAACATTATAACATAGTATGCCTCCTCTGTCTTCATTTTGTTTGTTTTTCATGGAAATCCATGTTAGAGGGGAGATGTGAGGCACATTGCTTGTGTGGAATTCTCAGCCCTGTAATCTGAGAAGTCTAAAAAGGAAGAGGAGATATACAGGTATATGGGGAAATGCTGGTATCTTCTGGAGTAGATAAGGCCCATCCATATTTCACTGGCAGAACAGAATTTCTAAAAGTCTAGTGATCTTTGAAAAGGGTGTGTAAATAAAGCTAATATATGTCCTGATGAAGGGACCAATTTACAACTAACAAGCCAGTACTTCCTAGCCACAGATGAAGAGACTCATAGTCCTTAAGTTTCATGTTTAGTGCACTGAGGGTATGCTGTCCTATATGAGCTTCATCAGAACTTGAGGGATTGTTGCAGCAGGAATAAGGAAACCAGAGACACAAAAGGTACACCCTACCTGAGACTACACTGCCTACATAAAGGCCATGAAAATTAACACACTTAAACAGGATCCATTCCAACACATTCTTTGGGAAGACCTGGAGGGATTAGAGGAAAGGAAGACTGAAGGAAGAAGAAAGGAGGACGTCTAGAGCTAGGAAATTCTTAAACGAACATTTTATTTTAAAGCTACATATTCAACTCCAAATTCTATCTGTGTTTTATAGTGACTAATTTGGAAGAAAAATTTCCAACAGTCCATCTCAACAATTTTGGGGTTATTATAAGAGCATCAATCAGTGAGTTACTATGGCCACTAACTGAATAACAAAGAAAATGCCAGCTGGCCCATAAAGATAGTGATGTATGACATATAGGCTGGTATTTGCCAGCCATCACAGCTATAAATAATAAATGGAATCAACAAAAAGTAAATAAATCTGAAACACTATATGGTTGGCTCCAAGTGCAGTCATGATTTATATAATCTTTTTTAAATATTAAAATATATATAATATTATTAGTCTCAGGTATGCAATACTGCAATTCAACATTTATATTTGTAATAAAGTGATCACTTAATTCATATAGCCTTGAAATTATGTTCCTTAAAAGCATTTTCTTTAATAAATACCCCAAACCCTAAATTTAAAATATGCCAGTTAGTTGTAGACATTTAAAACAAATCTATATGTAAAGAATCAATTATCTGCTAAGTGGCTGTTAATAATCTGTCAACCTTACTATTTGGCCCAAAAGAACCTCCCCAAACCACCCTGTCACTGTGTGAATGGTCCAGGCTTGGATGAGCCTGGGCAACAGGCCTGGGGCAGCATGTGCAGCTGTGTTCAGCCCTCTGTGGAATGTCTGAACGCCAACAGCTCTGCTCTTCCAGCCACCTGGTGTTTAAGTATGTGGTTTATATTTTTATTATAAATGAGAATACAAGGAACCCAGAACCAGGTAGTAATCACAAATCTACTAATAGAATTATGTGTCTAAGCACATGGTTACTATTTGGACACTGAAAATGGAAGCAAGTCTTACCATTGCCTGGCTGGGGCATGCGTCCACCTTCCTTCTCGATTTTTATTATTTCTTCCTTGCTCTCAGCCAACGATTCGGGTTCTGACAGTGCAAGAACTTGTTTTTCACATTCAAAATCAGTCCAGACTTTTCTGGATGTGTCTTTCTGAGAATCATCTTTTTCATTTTTGTTTTTATCCTGGGTATAGTTGAAGCTACCTATTTGTAGAATTATAAAAATCAAACAAATAATTTACACATAAATTTAGATAAAGTCATATTTACTCTAAGCCAGTGTAAAAAGGAAAGTTAAAGGAAAGTCATAGTAGTTCTTATAGAAAGAAACACAGTAAACAATGTTTGCCCCTTCTTTGGAAACATTTATTGGAAGTCATTAAATATCCAGTACTGCTCTAAGTACTGGAGAGGAAGCAAGGAGCAAGACAGGTAAATCCCTGCTTCCTGGAGATTCCATTCTAAGTGCTAGAGAAAGAGACACCAAATATAAACAAACAAGTAAATAGGGTCTTTTCCGATAAAGAGACTAAAGCAGGGTTTTGTAAGTAAGGAGACAGAGGCTTGGAGCAAAGGTCAGCGGGGCCAAGCTCTTGGAGGAGTCCCATTTGACCTGAGAGCTGTCCATGAACCTAGGAAGCCTGGCTCCTGGGCCTATTGGATAAGATTCTAAATGTAGCTAGAAATAGTTAGAGGGTTTTAGGTAAAGGAATACATTGATAAAAGATTTTAAAGGATCACTCTGGTTGCTATATAGAGAATAGCCACAAGGGAGAACAACAGAGAGGCTACTAAGATCTGGGAGAATATGGTGGCTCCCAATGGAATGGTAGCAATAAAGATAAGTTGGCTAGAACCAAAATAAAAAAATATATATTATACTTCTAATTCATAAAATATATATATAGATATATATATTTTAGAGGTTACACTGGTAAACTTGGTGGATTAAGTGTGGGAGGAGAGAAAGGAACCAAGAATGCTGACTATGTTTTCAGCATGATGTAGGGAAGATAGGGGAAGGGAAGATCTGGGTGTTGATGGTGAATCAAGAATCCCACTTTGGGTATGTTAAGCTTGAGGAAGCCATTAGACATCCAGGTGGACATGTTACATAGGTCACTGGATATAGCCAGTCTGAATTCAAGTTAGAGATATAAATTTGGGTGTATGAATAGTGAGATGTCAAGTATAAGCTCTAGATTTTAAGAACAAAGCATAAGTGTTACATATTGACAAATATTAGTGTTTACTGGTATGCTATACAAAATTTTATCTAATGTACTAGATCCTGCTTTAGCAATAAAGTATCTCATGACTCCAAAATAATGTCAGTTCACATTAATTACATAAATTGAGTGATTTAGCAACAAAAATTATAGTTTAATAGGGTTTTACATATACAGTTATGATTTTTCTTTGTGATGATGCCAAATAACAATGAAAGTTTATAGGACTGTAATATCCTAATGTTGCTCCTTTAATTTTTTGGATTCTGCCATTTCTTCAAAGTGTTATATGGCAGGCAAGGACTTAAAAATTTAGGTGGATAAGAATTAATTCTGCAATTCAATACTTTTGGAGTATATACAAATCAAGACAGGGAGTCACTATGCCAAGTTACAGTAATCTTAATCTATAACTGTCTTTTATATACAGTAATATCACTGTCAGTCAGAATATATATTTCTCTTTAATAAGACAGTTCCATGCCCACAAAAGGTATTTTGTTTTTGTTAGATTGCTTGAGAGTTTGCCAGTAACTTTCATTGTTACTCTTGGCCTCATCACAAAGAAAAATCATAACTGTATATGTAAAACTCTATTAAACTATAATTTTTGTTGCTAAGTCACTCAACTTATGTAATTAATGTGAACTGACATTATTTTGGAGTCACGAGATACTTTATTTGTATTGCCTGTAGCAGTTGGAAATTGAATGAGATAATACAAATTGTGAGAGAGATTATATGGAATAAAGCTTGTGGTTCCAATTAAGTTCACAGACAACAGGTGTCCATGTTACAAATATAACCACCCAAAGGGTAGAATGGTTGATTTTGGTAGAGAACACCCAGAATTGAAAGAGGAAAGACTCTGCTACTGATTACTTTTTCTTTCAAATCAAAGCTAAGATAGAGAGAAGCAAGGCAGGCAAGAAGGAACTAAAGTTTCAGAGCTTATAACTTAGCTGAGTCTTTGTTAATGTTAATTCTCTGAAGAATTCACATATACTGGAAAAGTAAATGTAAACAATTATTACAATAGATAAAATAAAATGACTTCTTCCACTTCCCAAAATTGTCAACTTGGCATTTGGAGTCACCATAAAATGATCTCTAAGATTGGAGAATTGGAGACAAATGGAATTATTAATCTTTTTCTTAAAACTACAGGTATTAATAATCATTTCAAAAAGAAAACATCAGAAAATGGCATCTTATGCTATGAAAACATACTGTGAGGTATGTTTATGATTTCTACTTTTAAAATAACATGTTTTTTAAAAAGAATAAGCTCATAAAACATATCAAATTGATTCTTAATGGAAGATCTACAGAGGAATTTTTATGATTGTCATGCATGACACATGGCACAGTATGTATTTTACTAGGCATAGTGGCTTACATTGAATTATTTTGCTATTTGAACAAAAATAATCTATAATTTCTTTAAAAACAAGTATCAGAGAGGAGAGGGTGGGGGGGACTGGATGAAAGAAGGAGAAAGGATTAGCTAAAAATATATACACAAAACACACACAGACAACAGTGTGGTGATAGCAAAAGGGAAGAGGGCAGGGCCCGGAAGAAGTAGGGCAAAGGGGGAGAAATGAGGACATCTGTAGTAGTGTCAACAATAAAAATTAAAAAATTAAAAAAAAACAAGTATTATCTACAGAGTAAAGAAAATGGCAGGTCTATGACTATAAAGCATTTTTGCTGCCATAGCAACATGGCTTCTCTTCCTGCCCAGTGAATTCACATCTTGCTGGTATTAATCAGAAATGTCCATTTGTGCCAAATTAATGCCATGTCATAGATGCTAGGAGATACGTATTCTTGGCAGAGCTAGGAGCTTTTTACACTCCACAAGGGGACGAATTCACTGCACTGTGTGAAGTTGTCACTGTAGCTTAAAGCTAGTTGGTGCCAAGTCACACTAGCCTCTGGTAACAGCAGTCATCTCTAAAACCACAGGTTATCTGAAGATGTCACAGCCAGCCCCCTCTGTGTACTCACCAGCACTGCCGTGAGGATGCCCACACATTTCACAGTAAGGTAACAATGCATTATTGATATAGGTGCAGAAACCACACTGCCAGTCCTTTCCAGGAACGGGTGGGGTGGTTGCCTGGGCTGGAGCTTTGGTTTGCCTGGGCCAGCATGGCTTCTCCTGTGGGGGACTGCAGTGGTCACCGGTGGTGACTGACTTCAATCTTTTAGCTTCAGGTTCAAAATTATTTTCATAATCAATGATATTTCTTGCAGATATTTTTCCAGGGTCTGTTGGCACTACAATATTTTTTTCATGGAAAATTCTTGATTCATCACAGGAGGTCACCAACCGACTATTTTTAGGTTTTGGTAAAAAGAATGATCGAATATCATGCTGTTTTTCTTTTTCAAACTAGGAAAAACAAACAGTTATCAAATTAACAAGCAATCTAACATGTTCTTCCTAAATAAAACAGTTTAACAAGCTGCTTTCATTAACCATATCTTTTATCTTTTGAATACATTGTTGGAAATGAATTCCATTTTGCTATGACTCATATATATATGTGTGTCCGCGCATGCAGAATACCATTAACACATCTACATACTTCCTGTGTCTAACATTTTTTAAGCACTTACAATGTGCCAAGCACTTTATGTATAACTAATTTAATCCTCATGCCTGCTCTGAGAGGCAGATACTATTATTATTCTCATATTTCAGATGAGGACACTAAACCTTTAGAGAAGTTGGGTAGATTGGCTATAGAAGTTTTAAAATGTACTTCATAAACCATTTGTTCCAAGTGTATATCAGGGAAAGAAGGAGAGACTATGTGTGGTGGCGTGGTTCAGCTGGTTGAGTGCTGTGCTGCAAAACAAAACGTCACTGGTTCAATTTCCGGTCAGGGCACATGCCTGGGTTGCAGGCCCAGTCCCTGGTTGAGGGGGGGTGTGGGAGGGAGGAAGCGGAGAAAGAGAGAGAGGGAGGGAGGTAAGGGGAGAGAGAGGCAACTGATCAATTTTTCTCTCTCCCTCCCTTCCCCATCTCTAAAAATAAATAAATAAAATCTTATTTAAATAAAAAGATCCTAGAAAAATGTTTTCACACCCAAACTATAAACACAATGTTCGTAAATAATATGTTCTTCATATTAAAATGTTCTTGACCAGGGAGAATTTTTAATAGCATTAAACTAAAATAGCTACTTTAACAGACACATTTTAATAATTATTTTGTTTTCAAGAAATATGTTTTTCTTTTCTAAGAAAAGCTATATCATTATCTCATGTTTTTAATCTTTTTTTCTATGTGCAAATCTCACCCACCTAGTTAGAGAAAGTGGGATACCTGTGTTTAGCTGATTAGCTAGCAGTTAAGGTAAATGAAAGGAATTAATTTTGGAATTGTCCTGCTAGGGCCAGAACTGGGTACCCTGGTGCGCGCGCGCACACACACACACACACACTATAGCAGTCTCCATTTCCAAAGATGGTCACACTAGCTTTTATCCCATTTCACATACTCTTCTCACAATGTAACACAACACACCTACATTTAAAGGTGGGGTTTGCGCTCCTCTCACTTGAACCTGGGTGGACCTCTGTAACTGTCTCAATCAAAAGAAGGCAGTGAAAGTGACGCTACACAACTTTGGAGGCTAGGCCATTGAAGGTAATAAGGCCTCCACTCGACGGCTGGCACACTATCTTTCTGTCTTTCCTTTCATGTCTTGGGATTCTTGCCTTTGAAGCCTAGCTGCCATGTTGTAGAGAAGCTCAGGCCACATGGAGCAACCATGTGTGTATGTTTAAGTTCACAACCCCAGATAGGTCCCCAGGTTACAGCCAGCATCAATTGCCAGACATGTGAGTGAATGAGCCTTCAGAGGGTTCCAGATCCCAGCCTTGGGATCTTCCAGCAAAGGCCCCAGGCACTGTGGAGAAAAAAATCTTGATTATACCTTGATTGAATTCCTCACCCATGAAAATCATCAGAAATAACACATGACTATTATTGTTTGAAGAAACTAAGTTTTGGGGCAATCTGTTATGCAGTAATGAAAAACAAGGACAGATACTACAGATAATGATAGCAAAAAATATATTATAAAGAGATTTTTTAAGTCCAATCTGTAATTCTTAGCAGTGCTGCATAAAATATAAAGATTTAGCAAATTCATAGAGACGGAGAGATTAGTGGTTACTGGGGGCTGTGGGAAAGGGAAATGGGGAGTTATTGCTAACTGGTTACAGAATCTCTGGGGTAATGAAAAAAAATTAAATATAATAGTGATGGTTGCACAACATTGTTAATGTAATATTAAGTGGCATTACCACTGAATTCTATACTTTAAATGGGTAAAAGGTCAAATTTTATGACTATATACATATATAAAATTTTAACTTCCCTCCCCCCAAAGAAATGGAAGGAAGGGAGAAGGGAAGGAGGAACAAAGATTTAGGCTGTTCCCATATTAGTAAAATTAAAACATATATTATAGAAAAAGGCTTCTTCCCCCATAACGTACTACTTTTATTTTATATGGCTGCTATTTATACATTCCCACATACTATAAAAAAGTTACCTAATTAGTTGTGGAAGTTACAGAATTTAGATAAAAATATAAAGAATGAAATAACAATGAAACAAGATTTTTAAAACAATGAAAAAGTGAAATTCTAAGAAAATGGTGGAGAAAAGCAGAGAAATTAGCAGACTTACTAGACTTTGGGGTTTAAAAAAGTAATGAGGGAAAAAAGATAAAAATTTAAAGAAAATGTTCCATTCTATATAATAGGACTACAAAGAGGGCTTGTAGGAATTTGAAAATATTAGCAAATATTCAGCAAACATGAACAAATTCTATCAGCTATTTCTAGTTAAACAGTGATGATTTTAAAATGTAGGTCAACTTTCTGAGTCTTTACATGTCTGGAATTGAGCCAATTTTGCCTTAATCCTTAATAGTAGCTTTACTGAGCATACAATTCTTAAATGTTTAAGGACATTGCTCTACTTCTTTCAACATTCAATGAGGCTGAGGATGATCCTACATAGATTGAAGCTTTTTCTTTGTTTTAGAGGCTTTCAGGACCTTTTTGTAATCCCCGGTGTTCTAAAATTTAACAGTATCTATACTATATATCCACATCTGTATCATCTATATCTATATGCCTTCTGCTCAGCACCCAGGATACCTTAATTTTGAATAGCGTTATCTTTAGCTCTTGGACATTTCTATTGTTCTTTGATGATTTCTTCCTCTTTCTAGTCTCTTTTTCTGGAATTCCTGTTAACAAGATGTAGGACTTTGACATTTATGTCTTTTATGCTCATATTTTCCTTCTTTGGTATTTTTACCTTTTAAACTCTCGGACTTTTCCTCTATTTTATCTTTCAACCTTTCTATAGAAATATTTTATTTTGGCAGTTATATTTTTAATTTCTAAAAGTTCCTTCTTGTTCTCTGTTCCTTTATCATAGTATTCTGATTTATTTATATTTGCAATATCATCTCAAATCTGAGGATAGTAATTTGGGTTTTTGAAAAGTCATCCTTAGAACCTCTTTTGTATTAGTTTATTTTTGTTTATCTTTCTTACCATACATGTTTCCTCCTTAAATGTCCAATGACCTTTCTCTATAAGAATGAAGGAACAGAAGGGTTCCCTGGGAACTCAGGACACAGGAGGCTTACCACCAAAAGAGCTAAGAGGACATACTGATTAAAAGTGGGGTGAGGAGGTTGGAAGGCCCAGAGTGATACCCAGACTCCTAAAAATATAATTTGTAACACTGTAGGATATTTTCAGCTATTGTAATAGGGAAAACAGAAAGAGAAATGGGTTCATTAGCAGGCACAAACAGAAGAGATAAGGAAATAAATGTTTTCTGACATGCTTGAGGACTGATGGGTATTGGAAAGTGAGGGCGCAAGAAGGGGGAAGTTTCGGGAAACAGGTGTGGAATTTAAGAGAAAAAGCCAACTGGATTTACCCATCTGGGAGCCACTGATGTATAGTGGTGGTTAAAGTCATAGGACTGCGTGTCACAATACATGGTAGAGGAGGAAATAAGGAAGGTGAAAATTAAGGACAGAAAGCAGAGAAACATTAAGGCTGGAATGAGGAAGAAATACTGAGAAGAAAACTGAAAAGAAACAGTAAAAAAGGTAGAAAAATCAGGAGAGTTGTGGCTTTAGTGTGTGTATTTCGGTTTTCCATTCATTATAGTAGGTGGTCAGTGGACACTTTCAATCAGAAAAACTCATGTCCTTCAGTTCCGGGAAATTTTCTATTATTCTTTTTCTTCTTGTATTTTCTGTCTTCTCTTTTTGTAATTCCTATTAGGCAAAAAGCTTCTGAACTGATCGTTTGACTCTCTTCACTTATTCTCACATTTTCCCATCTCTATTTGTTCTATTTTCTGTGTGATTTCCTCCTTATCGTCCTTCCATCCTTGTTGAGTTATTATATTCTGATATATAGGTTCACTTTCTAAGAGTTTTTCCTTGTTCTTGTTGCATGGGTGCAATACTTTCTTTAATTTCTTTATGAATGTTAATGGTAGTCATGGTCTTTTTAAAGTTTTCTTCAGCTCATTATCTTGTCTCTGTTCCTTTTGTATCTTTTACATGTTTGCTCTGATTGCTGAGTTTCATGTGAGAGGCTTTCTTCCATATACTACAATACTAGTCGAAGTTCCACGTGGGAAACTTCATGGAAGGGTCATCAGTGACTAGATGTTCCTGTCAGTCTCCATTGTTTTCTCTTAGTCCAGTGCATTTCTCCAGAAAAGGGTCCTCTAATCTTCTGCCCTGAGGACACAAAATACTGGCTACCAGTGACCTAGGAGCTGATCAAAAGAAGGGCTAAGGATTTCTCCATTAATTAAGGAGTCTTTCACTTAATATGTTTGTTTTCAATTTACTGTCTTAACTTACTCCCTCAATGAGTTCTTTTCCTAGATATAATTTTAAAGACATTTTGAAAAGAGGAGCAAATGAAACAGCTAAATAAATATAAAAATATAAAATAAAAAAATATAAAACTACAGGCCATTGTTACTTACACCAAATAATGCTTAAATGAAAACCAGAATCTTTTGTCCCATTCTACATTTTAAATAATTTGTTTCTTTAAAAACATTTTAGTTTCTCCATCTCCCCACCAAAATATAAAAGAAGATCGATTTTTTTTCAGATCTATTTATAAAAAGCAACCCTTCCCCCAATAATATAAAACAAAAAACTAAGAAATATTTCCAAAAAACTCTCAGGGCCTTAAAATATCAGCTTTTACAATTGATCTCTTTAATTAGGCTATTTTTAAAAGAACTTCTTTTACTTAAGCAAAGACTAATTTTGAAAGACAGCATTTGAGAAATTCTCATTCTTTGCCAGAGGCAGG